TCTTTCGTTTGTTTCTCTTTACTCTTCACTTGCATGCGTTGTTAATCGTGTTTTCTTTGGAGAACCCCAAAGACAAATGTTTTAGCCGATGACCCAGAGGGAGTTTTTTTCGAAACTTTTATTTCAGATCTACGCTCCCTAGAGGCTATTTCGCAAAAACAAATTACTTTTTTAGAATGAGAGTACGAAAATCTATCAAAAAATGAAAACTTTTTTATTTTTGCCGGTTTTAATCTTCAATGTTCTTTGACATTTACCCACTTAATTTACATTCCTTTCATTTTAATCCCTTAATTAGTTTTTTATATATATACATACTTGCTAATTTTATTTTTAATTTATCACTTTTTTAATTTTTCTCTATTTATATACGTTATTACCAATATATATAGTTATTTTCTTTGCATTTTTATTATTACTATTATATTTATTATTATTTTTACTATTATATTTTCCTTTTATTCTACTTATTTATATTATATATATTTTTTATATTTTATTATTATTATTTTTTACTTTCTCTTTCTTTTTATTATTCTTGTATTATACTTGTATTATTTTATATTATTTATTTTGTTATATATATATATATATATATATGCGTATGTTCTTTTTAAATATTTTAGTTTTTATACCTATTATTAATATATATTTGGTTTTTTTATTTTAAGTGCTATATTTTATAATATTATACATATATTTTTCTATTAATTTTCTATATTTTTTATTATCATTTTTATTTTCTTTTTTATTGATATTATTGTTGTTATATATACATTTTACTATTATTATATATATATATATTCTACACAAGTTAATTATATCTACCTACTTTGTCCCCACCCCTCATCATTTTTTTCTTCCCGTCAATTATACTTCACTAAACCTTACTTTTTTTTTCTTTCCTTTTCGGTGTGATTGTCTTTTTTAACTACTTATTATCATTATTAGTATTGTTACTATATATATATATATTGTAATTATCTTTATTTGATTTTTTTACCATTATATGTGTATATGTTCTTTTTGTCATTTAATTTATTAATTTATATATATTTACTTATTTATTTATTATATATATATATATTATTCTTACTTTGTTATTATTATTTTGTTTATTTGTTTTATTTATTTTCTTTTTCTTTTTTTATATATTTTATTATTATTATTTTTACTTACTATTTTATCTTTGCTTTCTTCATTTTATCATTTTACTTAATTTGTTTTCTTTTTTTATTTTAATTTAATTAATTAATTAATTTTTTACCATTTTATCTAACATGGTTTTTTTACTTTCTTAAGGGTACATTTTTAATCAATCAAATGTAAGTTTTGGATCGTTATTTTACCTTTCAATTTAAATTTTCAACTTTCTTAATTAAAGACAATTGGAAATTACATAGTACCGAAAGGGCGGTTCAAGGGTGCTAATCCTTCCTTAACCGTAACCGACTCCTGGATCCGACATATCACTGGTAAGACGCAGATCAGGTAAGAAATAAGGTATCCGATCAACCCACTTTTCGTAAAGTAAATGATCGGTGGCGACTCCCAATCCACATTTTTCAAGTCGAAGCCCAATTCCAGGGCCCAACCGAAAGACGGTTGCGACACTACCATGTCCTGAAAACTAATTAAACCATAACAATTAGGGGCAATACTTAATTTCATTAGCTTTAATAACTTTACAACTGATAGTTTCTTAAAAAAAGGCTTAATATTAAAATAAGTGCTCAAATTATACCTCTTTTTCAAATAGGTGTCTAAACTATTTTTTGACTCATCCCAATGCCTAACGTTACAAACGTTGTCCATTTAGGTGTCCAACCGTCGACGGTGTTAATTCCTCCTTTAAGTGGCACATGTCACAACCTAGTAATTTTAAAAAATTAAATATTTTGAAATAAGCCCAAACTTTAAAAACCTTCATTTCAACCCCTAAACCCATGCCAGTCACCACCTTTTACCTTGGACAAAGCTCCACCCAACCTCCCCTCCCATCGATCAAAACCCCCATGAAATCATGATCGATCGACGATGAATCAATATTTTATACCCCCGCGAACCCTAGGATGAAAATCACAATTTCGATGGCCAATCGATGAAAATTACGACGACGTATGAGTAGGAGGATGGTAGGGACTATGTCTGTAACACCCTTAACTCATATCCAACCCGAATACAAGTCTGAGGTGTCACATTGACTTTTCAAACTTTGACTCTTATAGAAAATCCTGGGAATTTTTAAAACTTTCATTAAAACGAAATACATTAATTTACATAAGACCATAAAATACAAAATCGATCAGAGTATTCGTAATTAACACTTATTACATGCCAACATTCTATACATAACCAAGTACATACTTTGTCAATTACTTCTGATCTGATCTTCTAGTAATGATACTGTCTTTGCCACTTCTATTCTTGTTCTTCTCGTTTCTTGGTACCTATGTGTAAATCACTTACACGCTAAGTCATAGACTTAGTGAGGCATGTAAAACATATAATATTTCATATAACATAAAGCATACATAAACATATACCATCATTATCATTAAGAAACACACATAACATCATATGGTTCATGTAACACATTTCAAACCACTTACATTTGACAACCATTTATAAACCCATCGTATACATATCACATTTAGTATGTTTGTTTGATCTCTTTATTAGCCCATGTACACTATTGAGAACTTAAGGTATGTGAGTACATTGAGGTTGTGCACTAATATTGTCACCATAGCTCGTATCAATTCCCTCATGGGGCACCGAACCTTAGTTCAGTATTCCTCCCGAAGTACCAGTCCATAATCCCGAAGAACCTAGGTAAACAGTCCATATGTTCCGAAGAACATAGGTAAACCCTCGACCCTTGGCATGCCAACTATACCACTAGCTCTCTTATCACATAACATGGGCATTAACATTCATAATAGTTCAATTTACTTATTCATATCCTTTCTCTTATGAACATATATCTTTTCTTTTCAGTCACGTACCAAATGTACATGTAATCATTGATCTTATAATCACATGTTCATTCTCTTCGGTCACATACCATATGTATGTGTAAACATATATCTAATATCATATAACACGCATCACAAATGCATGTATTCACATAAATCATTTCTTATAGCTTTATTCATATCACATATTCATATAAGCTCATATCTTATTTCACATATACTTTCCATATAACTTATATATCTCATAATCACACAAATCATAACATTGATCACCAATCAAATAACATTTTAGGAGTTACTTCTTACCATAATAACTCCATCACTGGCTCATCGCAAGCCAAATGTTTATTCAATAATATAAGTACAAATTAAATTGCACTCACCTTAGCTTTGCTTTGATTCGATTCTAATCCTTCAGTTGATTCGGAACGGGATCACGTTCTATATCTACATAATCATACATAGATCTATATCAGTATCATAACTAGTATACTCTAATGGTTCACTCTTTAGACCAAGAGAAAAGTCAATTTCATCTTTTAATGAAGGTATGCATCGATGCACTACTGATGCATCGGTGCATAAAATGTATTCGATGTTGTATTATTACTGGAATGCATCGATGCACTACTTATGCATCGATGCACGAATTGCATTCGATGTTTCATTATTAATGGGATGCATCGATGCACTACTTATGCATCGATGCACGAATTACATTCGATGTATTTATTTTAAAAGAGTTCATCGATGCACTTCCTGTGCATCGATACACCTTCAAACGATTTCTGGGTTTTAACCTTGATGCATCGATGCACAATGAATATGCATCGATGCACTCTACCCATAATCCTCTTTTTGAACCCGAAAATTCATTCATTTTGCATTAAATCCTTCATGTTTCATCCCCTTTTTCAGTCTTAACTCTAGTACACATACTTAAACCAATCTATATTCATTTATTTCATCTTAAACCTCAAAATCCTATCTTCCATATGTAATTCAATAATTACATAAATTTTACAACATGTTTCAAATCCAATTCTATTACTTCATATCTCTTACTTAGATTGATAACAAGTCAAATCCAACTTTCAATTCTTGTTATGAACTCTATTCCAATATTTCATTCAAGAACCTCTAATCTTTAATCTTCTCTATCTCCTTTATCTTTTGATCTTAAGATAACTTAAGCTTTCCTTAAGCTTAGTTATCATCTAATGATCAAAACCCAATCTTAAATTTAACAAATAATTAACTAAGTAGAAGACTCACCTTTGAGCTTGGAGATACGGGAGGAGAGGAAGAAGAAGGAGAAGAAGTTCTGGAGAAATATCTCCCTACATGCTTATCTCTTAATAAAGAGATAAGATAATTATCTTTTAGATAAAAAGACCATTTTACCCTTTAATTCCTTTAATAATTACTAACAACTTTTAGGATTTATTTCCAGATAAATCATTAAATTAATCCATTCTTCTACTTTAATCACCAAATTCTGAAACTTTACAATTAAGTCACTAACCCATAGTTTGGGATGTTACAATGTCCGTGGCGATGATCGTGGCTGGAAAGGACGACGACAGTGGGTTAAGGTTAGGATTTGGGGTTTTGGGGTTTTATAATATAAGAAGAGTTAGTTTTTTATATAAATATCACAATATTTTTCATATTTTTAAAAAAATAAGTTTCAAAATCATCATATTGTGACACGTGTCACTTAAGGGGAAAATTAACGTTGTTGACGGCCCGGACACATAAATATGTAATGTTTATAACGTTAGGCACCTGGATGAGTCAAAAATAGTTTAGGCACCTATTTGGGAAAAACGACATAGTTTGGACACTTATTTTGATATTAAGCCTAAAAAAATAATTAAACAAAAAAAACTTGAAAGGGATCATTACTTAATTTTAAAGGTTTTGAAACTTTCAGGAGCTTAAAATACAATTCTTGTAAGATAACCCTCACAAAATTAAAACTTGATTAAATTCTCCTTGAATGTGTAAACCGCCCTACAAACTATAAAAAGAAAATTCTAACTACATGGGTTTATCACACTTTGAGAAATCCTTTGTGCTTTAGCCTTTCTTTAAATTTACTTGGGTATATAACAGCCGAGTCTAAACAAAGACCACCCTTTGTATGTGTGCAATCAATTTGTGTCATTGATAATTTGATCTTAGTCCATGAATTCGATTTCTCAAGGTTGAAGTCCCCCACATGGTAATGAAACCATTCCCCTGGATCACTCACCGTACATTGAGATGTGGCGTACTGCCCGTCTGACGTCCATAGCTGAAACCTTACCGGTTTTATATCCCAACCATGTACGTGCTTCGAGTTGCAGATCCGGCGACCGAAACTTTTCGTGGCACGACCGAGCTGTAGTCTGAAAAAAACGCTATAGGTCCCTGGTGGAAAGGGGAATTCCACCTCTCCGTCGACTTCAAACCACCATATTTGCTGAAGATATGCAATGGAACCAAACCTAAATAAAAAGGGAACCGAGATCAATAAAAAAAAACAATACACACATGTGGTTTTATCCCTTTTTACTGTATTCGATACATGTAGATATGTTGATATTCAAATCCATGCACGATGGCAATGATGTTCACATACATGTGGTATTATGCTAACTGCTATTAATCTTTAGAACTATGGGATGCAATAAAAACAGCAACAAAATGAGACTGTTTCTAAATGTGTCATGAGCTATATGAACCATAGACCATACAACCTATGTTTCAAAAAACACAAGAGGTGGCTTCTTTTGTTAGAGTCGAAACCGATTCAATAAAAAACCCTTGAATTTATAAAAGGGATAACATTAAAATTCACCGTAATGTTTAATTTAATAATCACTTTAATTTTTATTTTTTTTAAAGTATTTTAGTTCTCAACATTTTATTTTAATCAAAATGACTCATAATTAGATCAAAACCATTAGTTAACTAACAATCAATGTTTTTCATTGACCTGATAAGTCTTATGTATTTAAAGGATTGATATGATATGTGTTGCATCATCATTTTAAACATATTATATCTCACGTCATCACTTTAGATGCGTAGTATGTATCATGTCATTATTTCAATGTCATGTCAGTCTTTTGGATGTATAGAACTTATCACATTAATGACAAGCATTGATTAGCCAACTAATGGTCTCTGGACTCAAAATAAAACGTTAAAGCTAAAATAATGCTTAAAAATAAAGAACAAATCGATTATTCGGTCAACGTTACAGGTGTATTTTGAGTATATATGTTTATTAAATAAAGGACGAAATGTTTGTCACCACGGACTTGATCAAACCATGGGAATGAGAAAGCAGGGTACAAGTCAAATGCAGTGAGCGTAGTGGATTGTTTTAGTTTATCCATAAGGAGACGCTTTCAAAGAAGACAACTTGCGGGAATCAAAGGAGACCATATTGTTTTTTTCACAATTCTTCCACTGACTGACCCTAATCATAGCACCATCATCATGCATATGGAGATTTATCAGTAGATGATTACCTAGATTCTTCGGTAGGAATATGATTCCAATATCGTCGATCATCAATCCCTGTTATCTGCAAGCCCTTCGAAGATACTGACATACAAACACCGCCTGTGCTCTTATCCAGCCATACTTTCTGCAAAAGGAACCCAAATTTTAAAATCCCAGTTATTTTCTCGTTATCCAAACAAAAAGGGCAGAAGGAAAAGCATACCTTGGTGCCACCATCAAAAGTATTAGCTTTGCAGAGTCTTGCGTATATGCTTCTTTTACTCGATTTCTCAGGTGCAAAGCTCAGAATCTTCCCAACAAGGATTTGATAATTGGGTGGCAACTTCGATTCCCAAACGAAATCAGCCCAAGAAGCTGCCCTAAATGCTCTGTTCAACTTTGCCAACTTGCATATATGTGGAGGGTCTAAATACTCAATAATCGATGCCACACAGCTTTCTGGTAAGTCCCCCAAACTGGGTGATGACGAAGATAATAAACCATCTTCGTCGATGAACAAAGCAGAGAGACTAGCACCCATGAATTCGAAAAGTTTGCAGAAACCGGAGAACTAAGAAACTTCCAAGGCAGAGTATTGATGATAAAACACAGAACAAGAAAGAAGAGAGAGGTGGCAAGGGCTAACGAGTTGTTGCTTTAAAACAAGGGCGCGGACTCCCTTTTTAGGATTTTTTTTGTTACTGTTTTGTCTGTTTGTTTACCGAGAAAGGAAAAAAAAAAGACTTTGATCTTGACGATGAAATCAAAGAAAGATGTTTGTTTTTTATTCGATCCTGATAACCATATAACCAAATATATAGAGTTGTACCACATATTACAAATACAATTGTTTGAACTCAGAAACTTAAAATAAAATAATACTTCTTACTCGGTCCAGTAATTTTACACAAAATTTAAAAATTACATTCGAAAATAAATAAAGCTTGAATTAAATTATAACTTGTAATAAACTAGAACAAACAATCAATCGGTCACGAAATTTAGAATAATTAACACGAGATCATACAGTATCGTGCAACATTTATGCTGTTGTGCAAACAATTTAATTTATGTAAAATGATTGAAAAAGGTGAAGGTCTTGATTTCAAAGGGTTGAAAGTGAAAATTAATAATCAAAAGTTTGGATGTATGGATACTCACTCGAGGTACCAATGTTTGGTGAATCTTTGATGCTTAAGAATTTAGAAAAAGTTATATATATATATTATTTGTATTTATATGTTTAATTTGTTTGATTTATGAGTTTATTCGACTTAATAAAGAGTTTGAGATTTTAATTTTTGGATCATTTCAATGATTTTGATGTAATACTCATGAATTCGTCGAATATTTTGAATGTGGTTTGAGAGTTATAAACTTACATTCATATAAAATATAACTATATCAAATTTATTAAACAAAATATGAAATAATTAATTTATGATTTATCTATACTTGCTTACCAATAAATAAAGAATTTATGTTTCGTTTGATTAAGTCCACTATTTTTTTTATTTACGCTTTAGGGTCATTTCTAGTTAAACAAAATAAAAAGTAGCCACATGACAAGAATGGGTTTGTCATCTTGTTTTTTGGAAAACCACTAAAAAAATCAATCTCTTTCATAAATAAGATTAATGGCCATCGAATTAAGTAATTTTTTTTAATAGATACCTGTCCATAACTTTATTGAAAACATAAAGCACACGAAATACAAAGTTCAAGAAAAAGAAAAATCAAAGTGAAAATAAAAGCATAGAGACTTGAACGCAAGCTGAAAAACTATGTTAATTAGTCTCTCAAGATCTTATCCTAAAGTATGTTATTTTGTGTGTACGTTTTGTTTAATCATAAAAGGATATCACTCTTGGAATTTAAATTCTGAACTTAAAGTGTATATTTATATTGATATTAATATTATTGTATTTATATTTATTTTTCTTACATATTACGATAATCAAATAATTTTTAATATTGAACTCTTTCGTTCGAATTGTCTAAAGTTTTCGTGTGTTTTTTTTTATTAATTTGGAGTGCCTAAACAACAAGATTAACTACATGATTGATCATTTATGTTTGTGTTTTGTCTACTTTTTTTCTTGATTTAAAAAAATTATATGCTCACTTTGTTTTTGTTTAATTAATATGTGGTCACCACGAGTTAATCGCCTTTAAAAATTTTGGTATAATCACACATTTGATTCTTATTATTTACATATTCTCTCAATTTAGCCTTACGTTTAATAAATTAAAATAAATATAATCCTCCAATCAAATGATGTCACATGTCAATGATGTCATGTATCACTATTCGATTGTAAACTAACTTTATTTTAATTTAATATATTTTATGTTAAAATAAATATATTAAATTAAAATAAAATTAAACACTCCTACCGAATGGTGACATGTGACACCGATGACACATGCATTATTCGATTGGAAGACTTAATTTATTGGAAGACTATTAATGACAAGGACATAGCTAGAAAATTTAAAATAAATTATTTTGAGGCGTTAAATTTATAAATATTTTTTTAAAAAAAAGTAGGATGTCATATGACACCCCCGTATAAGACTGGTTCATCAAAAAATGAGGAAGTGGTCAGGTTTTTCACATAAAAATTATGGACCAACCAAAATGACTCTTGTCAGCAAAACCACTTTGATGTGTGTGTGAGTCAGCATAGGAAATGTCAACCACATAAAAAATATGTGTAATGATTTTCAAGTTTTAAATATGTGTAATGATGTTTCAAGTTTTATTTGATAACGAACGAGTTGCCAAGTTGCACAATTACATATTAAATCTCATTTAGTTTAATGGTTTGGATTATGCAAATGGCTTTAATCGGCCCATGATTTTCCACCACTCGTTTTACCCATATATATTAAACAACAATAAGTATAACTCGGCATAGCATTCATTGTTAAATTTAATAGATTAGAGTTAAATGAATGTTTTTATTTTTAATGTAACACTTCGAAAATGAGTTAGTAGTTCGGGTGTTATTATTGTGTTATTATTGGGCTTCGAGTATTTGGACAAGACTAATTTTAACATTTGGGTCAAGAATAAAGGGATTGGACTTGTAGAAAGCCCACAAAGTGATAAAATGCTATTTTTGATTTGGGCTTAAAAGAGAAGAGATTAAGGGTGTAATTAGACTCTTGTTTGAAAATAAGGTTAATTTCATTTATGTTTGCTGATGTGAACGAGGAAGAGAAAGTTGAAACTCCTTTCCTCATTTTCTCCACCTTTTATCTTTTTCTTCTCCTCTCCATTGTTTTTTTCTTCCTCTTGAGAGTTTCAAAGGTGGAAGCTTTAGTGCCTTACAGAGCTAGTTTTAGAACTTGGAGGTAAGATAGGCAATCTTCATTCTTAGGGCTTTAATTCTAGCTCAAAATTTTGAGGTTTGGCCATTGTGACAAAGTATGGGTTTTAGAGGAGTTTTGTTTTAGGGCCTAAGAGTGGATCTAAATTGTTTCTAGGTGTTTAGAAATGTGTTTCCAATCACCTAGATCTTTAAAACGTGGTATTAATTCATTTGTTTTGCTTGGTTAGTGAGAGAAGATGGGGAATGCTCAAAAGCCAAGAACAAAGAGAAGTTGGTGGTTGGGTTATTCTTGAAGCATCATTCATCATCTAGAGCTAAAGTAACATATAGATAACTTCTCTCTACTGTTTGTAGACCATGAAACTATGTTTTGTTTATTGTTGTGCTTATTGTGTGCATAATGGGTTTTAATGGTAGCATGATTAGTTGATGCTTTTGTTGTGTTAAAACAACATTTTGTGATGCTAAAACACTCCATAAAACTTAACAAATACTTGGTAGCCCTTAAGGGGCTTGTGAAGGGCCTTAGAATGTCATTTTTGTGCCTAAACAGGGCACTCAGGTCCATCAATATAGGTACCATAAGAACAATTCTGATATTGTTCTTCGTATAAGGAAAAAATGGGGCAAATTTGAGGGTGATTATCGATACTCGAGGCTCGATATCGATACTCAGAAGATGGTATCGATACTGGTGGCCATTTGAGAATTTCATAATGCAATTTTGATACCGATACTCATGAGAGTGTCGTACTAAGGGATGAGTATTGGCACTCTCCATCAGGGTATTGATACTTGGAATTAAATTGAAACATCGAAGCTAAAATTGATATCGATACTAAGACCAGTATCGATACCCTAAGGCCAGTATCGATATTGATAGGCTCATTATGGGGACTGACGTCTTATTTTGGGAAGAAAACTTTGCTAACTTTGTTAGCTTATAAAGGGGATTATGAGGGCATCGAGTGTTCTTAAATAAGACTATAAGTGAGAAAGTTAATTGAAACTCTTATGAACAACAACATTAAACTATGTGGCATAAAATTAGCCTTTGTTTGATGCTCGGGAAATACTGATGACACCCTAGTTACTTGAGCGTATGCATGCATTATTCGAATATGTAAGTTGAGATATCTGAATTATCTTTCCAGTGTTATTACACTTTTGTATCAATGCAAATGCAATTTTGTATCATTGTTGAGGAATTTTAGTATTAGTGCTAAGGCACTTTTTTGATTGAATGGCAAGCCCATATTATGACTCTTATGATGCTTTGTTACATATCATTATGTTATGATCTATGCTTATTGCATTTCATTGTGCATGACTTAACTTGTTAAGAATTCATATTTATTGGATGCATGTAATATAGGGGAGTCGTTTAGTGGCACTGAGCTCGTAGTTCAGCATTCGAAAATGTTTTTGTTCACATGTTAGTAGGTGTCAGACTCGGGAGCTTATCACCAATCAGTCATTTTCCAGATACCAACAGTAGTAGAGTATGTCTTGATTATCTTAGTAGGAATGCATTTTCATAGACCCTTTTATATTTGAGTCATAGCTCTTGGATTATTGTATTTTGAGAATTTATTTGGGAGCTCCCCGTTTTGTAAACTTAACTTTTTATACTTATTTACTTAATGCGATGGATTATATTTTGACAAATGAAATGTTTTCAAGAAAAAAATGGGTTAACCGAAGTGGTTCCGTTTAATACCCAAACCCATCGAATTTTGTTTTATTCGGACTTGGGTGTTACATTTAAAACCACATCTAATTATATTTTATTTTTAATTTATTTTTTAAAATTTTTACCGTTGATGTATAATTCTAGGAAAACCTTTCTGACCCAAGGTTAAAGTAATTTCAATTGACCCAAAACCATACCTAACTTTCGAATAAAATCCGACTCCGACTCGATACCGCCCGAACCCAATTAAAAAAATATAAAATTATTTAATTTTAATTTACTCGATAAATATTAATTGAAAAAAATAATATAAAGAGATATATTATTTCAATTATCCCTAAAAATTATATTATTTTTTGAGTCAGGCCAGGTCGGATATTTTTACCCGAAATCCGACACGGACACAAATTTTTTATTATTAAAAAATAAACACTTGAGTCGGAATGTGTCAGAACCCGTTGAGTTTAGGTCCTGTCCATTCCTATATATTTCTGTTTTATAGAAATATAAACAACCAAGTTTATTAAGATGGAGAAAATATCCAATTTTAAGATGGAGAAAATATCCAATTTTACAATATATGGTTACAATTAGAATAGTAAACAAAACAACACTCATAATTATGATATATATATATATATATATATATGTAATATTTTGTAGACCGAACCAATATAAACATATAAAACTTTTATCTAATATAATTCATATATATTTTTAATTTAAAAATATAATAATTATATATATATATGGACTAAATCTAGAAAAAGTATATTAATTGGACTAATATAAATTTCTGCACATAATTCATACATATTTTTTTATTTAGGGTAAACTAACTATTTTGTCGCCTCACATATTACTTAATTTATATTTTGATCACTTAACTATTATTTTTTTTTCAAAATCATAGTCAATCTTAAGATTTGGTTCTATTTTGATTATCTACACTTAAAAATTAAGAATGATGTTAATATGATATTTTTTAACTATTTTTCAATCATGACGAGGCATTATGATGATACGTCAACATCACCGCTAATACTTTAAAGACGAGTGACCAAAACAAAATCAAAATATAACATTAAGTATGATTTAAAATAAATAATAATTGAGTGACCAAAACAAAAATTAAATAATAAATGTGTGATTGAATAAATAATTTACCCATTTTTGAGCATAGAGGGCATGGCCTAGGTAGGCGTAGGCCTACGCCCCTAATGACTATTACGATAAACGAACCACAATAGGAGATTGATTAAACTATTGAAAGATCACTTATAAATGTAAATCACAGTCAAACATCGTGAGAAAACTATCTACAAACATATGTTATGTATCTAAATCCAATTAGAGTGTCCAAAGCATGGAAGACTAGGGGAATAACAAATGAACACCATCTTGATCAGTTACGACAACGTCAAATCCAACCCTAAAAAAATAAACACAATAATGACCAAACGATCGAAAAAGAAAACTCAAAACATTCCCGAAACTAAAAAAATGTATCATAAAAACATAAAAATCATACTATAAAAACAAAATAAAAATAAAAAAATGAGATAAAAATAAAAAATATATCGACACCAAAAACTAAGATCAAAGTTGATTTCGTCGTCTATCCATTGGCGGAGCCAGGATATAACAGGGTGTCATATGAAATCCCAAAACATTTTGGAAAAAAAATTATATATAAAATTTAATATAAAAATATTTAAAAGTTAATTAATTAATATATTTCGAAAAGAATATTTGTAGCCTTAAACATAAATCGACATCTTAAAAAGACTTCTCTATACAAGTTTTAAATTTGACATCTTAAAATAAAATTTCTCTAAATTTAACACCCCAAATAAATATTTGAATTCCGCCCCACGTCTATTAATCATATATGAGGTAAGGAGGAAGCGGATGTTTGAGAAAAAGAGTGAGCAGAGTTTTAGAATTGTTTAAGAATTTTTTTTCGAATAACAAACGATCGGATGTATATTTGTTTTAACTTTTTTTATTATATAAAATTTTATGTGATAGTTTAAGAATATGGTGTGTGGCATATAATATTTAAAAATAAAATGCAATTTTAAAGGTCAAAATTAAATAAAAAGTATTCAAATATCAAAGTAATAATGGAATGCAACTTCAAGAGCTAAAATTTTATTTAACCTTAGATTAGAGCATGTTTCCTTCTCATTCGGTCTCTACTAAATATCATAATTTTGAATATATAAATTTTAAAATTTGTATCAAATGATCTTAGTGGTAAAAAAGAATATTTTATTTCTTATAAATCAATTGATTAAAAAAATTTTAAACCAACCACTCTCCCCCTTCTCTTTTTTTAGAGTTTGTATCATTTTTTATAGATTAGATCAATTTTTTCTTTGAATTTATTTAGCCGGTTGCAGTATCAGTTTTGATGTTGGTTTCTATCCGTATGTTATCTTTTTGTTTTTTTTTTAGTTTCTTAATAAGAATAATTATATCTTTGTGACATGTTTTTCTCTATCTTTGTGGCATGTTTTTCTCTACCTTTGTGACATGTTTTTCATTTTCTTTCTCGGTTGTTTGGTTCTTTTATTTATGTTTTTTTAGGGTGGGATTTGACGATGTCACGACTAATCAAGATTGTGTTTACTTGTAATATTGTTGATGTTTCCAGGTATGGACCTTCAAATTGAATTTGGATGTGTGAATTTGCGTTCTTGGATAGTTCTTGTGACGTTCAGTTTTGATTTACGATTTTCAATGGTCTTTTAATAGCTTATTCCCCTTCTGTGGTTTGTTTCCTGACACCGTCATATTTGTTCTTATCTATTTTTTTTGCTCGAGTGTTTTGATTGAGTTTTTAATTTTTTTCATGTATGGTCCTTATATGATCTAAAGTGGCTAATTTTATAGGAAAATGTCTAAATTATGTAGTGGTAAAACCATATTATAATGTCGGATATTTTTACTTTTTAATAATAGTAACCGCCTCTATTCGAAAAACAGAAGTTCTAACGAGATAATAACTTGCGATTACCCTATACTAATAAAAAAATTCTAAACATAAGTATAACCGAATTAAAATTTCATATATATGATCGAATTAAATTAAAATTATACATAATTAAATCAAATTAAAATTACTGTATGTGTGTATCTTATTATATATTGGATCAAAATTCATATTAAATTGAGATATATTAGTGAGTAAATTATATAATTAAGTCAAAAGCAATCCATATACAAAGGCAGATAACAAGTGAATGAAATTAATAAACCGATAAAAATATAAACAGAAATATGAAAGAATAAAGGGGGAGAAGATCAAGTCTGGGTATTAGTGGTAATGCTTCATTTGTTTCCACAGTGCCAATTTGATGTAGGCACACAGCTAAGGTAATGGCACCACCTGCAATGGTCGTATCCGTTTTCTCCTCTAAACAGCATTATCAGTCCCACTGTGAAACTGCATCCCATCCGAAAACGGAATACGATTATCATCTTTCCGGTCAACAGGCAAAAAAACAGATAAGAATGTGGGGTTCAAAAACTTACCCAACAATGACTAAAACCATAGCAATCACCCAGAAAACATACTGGTATGCCTTGTGCTTTGATTTTACATGAGCACCAGCAGGAAGATGCTGACGTCGAACCCACCCGAACTGGGGACGAAGCATCAAAACAAAGCCCAAGAGAAATCCAGTCAAGAAACCACCAATGTGTGCAAAGTTATCGACATGAGGAAGAATCCCGACTGCTAAGTTAACGGCTATAATGACCACAAGTGTGATCAGAGCAGCAGCCTACAATACAAAGTATTAACTTTGCTTCAAACATCAAAGCAATTACTATTTTCCAATAGAATGCGATAGGTAAACATTTTTCCTAAGTACATAAATACGTAACATACCTTATTCGTATAGATAGTCCAGTTAGTTAGAAGCTCCGATAACATTGCCCCGAGAAGGCCAAATAAAGCACCAGAGGCACCAACAGAAATATTATGCTGTATGAAAAGAGAAGATAGTATACTCCCACCAAGGCCAGACAACAGATAGATAAGCCCAATACGCACTGTCAGGGGAAAAACACATATAAGCTACAACAGCAAGACGGGCCAAATTATCCTCTAGGTGGCCCTAGTAATGGTGAATGAACAGATTCTCCATTCACCATGTAATGCAATCAAAGGATATCTGTAAGACACATTTATTCACTTTGTTGACCGATCGAGACTGACCCAACACTCCGAAATTTACATGCTATGAAATGCATTATATACAATAATTTTCTGTAGGAGAAAATGTGGAATAATTAATATCACACTAGAGAAAAGGACAGATAGAGAACCGAATCCAAATTGCTGTTCAAGGCGCATTCCAATATAGACCAAGCTCAACATGTTAGCGAGCAGATGAATAACACCAGCATGAAGCCAAATGCAAGTAATAAGCCTCCATCCTTGATTGCCATGCACTACCTTGTTCCACTCTAGTGCTCCCAATTTTTCCAATCTGAAGAAGAACGAATATGAGAAAACTAGATGTTCGAGTTCTCGAATACTATTTACATAAACTTATTGAACGAAAACCTCCTATATCCAAGTTCCCTTAGTTTCTGTAAAACAACATTTGGATTTGCATAGATCATCAATTCCTCTAATACCATGCATATGCATCCCTAAATGAGATGAGCATGTAACCACATCACACGTTCAAATGGCTTCCGGCCATCCATTGCTGAAATTTTTACTAAACTGAAACATTGTTTTGAGTTTTTTTTTTTTAGAAATTAGTACAAATAAGATAAATAACTCTGGATCCTGAAATAATATGCTACCTCAATATTCTTCTATCAAAGCAAGCAGAAAGAGGATTTCCCTAGCTGAAAAAAGATCAAAAGGTCAAATCAAAATACAGAGCCCTTAAGCTATCATCAGAAAAAAAATAAGCTGCTAAGCTAGAAGAGGTTCCCAATTATGAAAATTGTCCTCACTGCACTTTAGCAGAAAACCACGACATTCCATAAATCAACCAATGGACTTTGATGTCAACTCCATATTGAGAATTGTGAATGCAACTCAAATCAATAAGAGACAACAAGCTTTATAAGTTTGAATTGTGAATGCAACTCAGATCCTCTATTATGATCCAAGGATACTCCTGAAACAGGAATGATTGGACTAAAGCTGACTCATCAAAGACAGAAATTCCTAAACTTCTAAAACCAACAAACAACAGAAAGATGTCAAATTTAGAGATGGGGTAGATGCGACTTACGTATTAGAAGAAGGGCCGAAGAGAGGATTTTCTCTCAAAGGCTGAAAAGAAAGCCTGCCAAGAAACTCAGCCACACAGCTTCCTTCAAATCCCAGATTGTTCTTAGGACAATCATTGATGTACATCACCACAACAAAAACAGCAGCGTTAGCCACCACAATCATCGGGACAAGCCACGAAGTCCATTGCTTTTCAGTGTTTTCAACATGGTAGGGAGATGTTGGTCGGTGATAGATATTTGGCCTGTGCTTCTCATTCATTCCACCTCCTTGCTCTAGATCCCCACTTGCCATCCTCCTCCAAAACAAAAACCGTTTCTTTTCAGAGCTTAACGGATGAATTTAGTAACTTTTTTCTGGGTTTTCTTTTTCAATGGAAACTGAGACGATTTTATATCAATCTTTGATTGCTAGAAACGCAAAGAAGAGAGAGGGGCTTTGAGTTTTTGCTTTGTGGTTGCAGATTTAACCGTAAAAGCTACAAAATTTAGATCTTCGAGCATAGCTTATGGGTGGTTTGTCAGGTTGACTATTGGGTTTGGCTTAGTGTATGTATATTATTTTTCTTATCAAGTAGACAGACGGTAAATGTATAAAAAAGTATTTAAATAAATATTCTTTTATAATTTTCATTATATTATCTAAAAAAACTTTTATAATTGTCTCTCTCTTTTCAAAATTTCAATGAAATGATTTAACAATTTAACATTAAATGTCTAAACACAGCTGGATTTTGGTTGCTGGTAGTAGGGATGACAACTCAATCCGAATTCGACGGGTTCTGGTCTGATCTGATTTGATCGGGTCAGATTTTTTTAAAAAAAAAATCTAAGTTCGGTCGGATTTAGGGTGATAAAAATATGACCCGACCCGAAAAATATATATAATTTTACCTATATATTTAGGGATAATTATAATATTACCCCTCTATATATAATTTTTTTCAATTAAATCACTGCTTTTATTGAATAAAAATATATATTTTTTAATTATTTCGGGTCATGTCAGGTCGGGTCAGGTGAAACCTTAATTTCTTCAGATCGAGTCGGGTCACGGGTGGAGGACCTTTTCTTCTCTGGTCGAATCGGGTGACTCAAAAACTCGACCGGCCCGACCTATTGCCATCCCTAGCTGGTAGTCTCTTTCAAGATTAATGAATGATGTATAAATTCAATATAAATATTTATATCATGGCCTTACAATTTGATATTAACCTTTCCTCATACTCTAAAATTTTTTGTTTGTGCGTGAATTCATCAGACTCACTTCAAGGATGTAGAGCATTGTTTTGAAAATCGGATCAGGTCGATCGGTTTAATCATTAATCGTTGTCTGATCCGATTCATTTTATCCCGATTAAACCGTTATTAGTGAACCGTAAAAAAATCATTGAACCAGCAATGAACCGATCGAACCGGACCGATATTGAACCACTAAGAACCGGATGTTTGACATGGAAATTAAAAATAATAATAAAAAATCACGTTAGAGTACAACTATTGTAGACACGTGGCATTTCTATATATTTGAACCTCATTATTAATTCAAAACGTCACCTAACCTGTCAGGATATATTAATTAAGTCAATTTAATTAACTTTAAAATAAAGAAATAATTAAGGGCTTTAAATTTTATTTGATTCATTCAATAAACAAAATAAAAAAATCATAAATCAAAACAAACAAAGGGTTTAATCGTGAAAACAAAGGATTTCTTTTTCTTTTCTTTTTCTTTGTGGGTTTAGTATGAAAAATGAATTTTTTTCAGGGTGAAAATCAAATGGGGTAAAGAGGATGGAGTTCATCTTAAGTAGTCTCCTTTGTTTAGGGTTCTTTAAAGAAAAATGAAGGATTTGGGTTCGTTTGAATCATCATATTGTTGTTTAAAAACGAAGGGATAACAAAATGGTTGAACGTCGACTTCGACAAGCAGGGGACAACAGAACAGTCTTTGGTAATTTCTGGATTCTTCTTTTGTTTTGTTTTTTTTTTCATTTTAAGATTCTTATTCATCTTTTGTTTGGATTTTTATTTAAGGTTTCAAAATAATTAAATTTGTTTTTTTGGGTTATGTTGTATTACAGATTTTTTATGTCTGTATGTAGGTTGATTAGGATTTCAAAGTGAGATTTTTTATGTGTTTATGTAGTTTTTTTAAGGTTCTGTTTCAAAATAAAGCAGGCTTTTATGTCTGTATGTTTGGATTTGTCTTGTGTTTCAAAATAAAGTGACCATTGGGATTCCTTCAAAATATGCCTTTATATATGTCTTTATAATATGCCATGGTTTTGTCTGGTATGCCTTTTACATAGTAGGGTTTTGTCTAGTATGTCTTTATATATGCATTTATTGATTTAGGGTTTATTGATTGTTTACAAGTTTTAAATGCAGTAGGCGTTATTTACTGATATGTTCCAATGGTTCCACTTCCATCGATTGGAATAACAGTTAATGAATTGTGGAAAACATATTGAGTAAATATATTAAAGAACTATAAGTACATGATAAATTCCCTTTTCAAGTATATGATATGTTTGGATCGCTTTTGTAATCCTTATATTTGTAATCTATATGTTTGAAAATGAATTATCTATTTATGTGTGGTTAATTTGGTTATGTAGAGTAATGAGTATGGAAGAAAACAACAAATGAATTACAAGATGAACATGGAAGGAAATCATACTTCTGCACATTTTGTCAAAAAACCTTTCATGGTGGAGGTATTAACAGAATGAAACAGCACCTTGCGGGAGTAAAAGGTAATGTTTGTGCATGTCCGAATGTACCGGGGGATGTCAAAGTTCTTATGCAAGGTAATTTGGAGGAAAATAATATAAAAGCAAAGGAGAAGTGTGGTTGTTCTTCGGGAATACGTATTAATTTGGATGAAGATGAAGAAGTACAAACACAAACAACTAAAACGAGCAAGATGAAAGCTTTTTCAAACTTGCAATCATTCTTTAAACGAGGTATAAATGATCTTTCTCAACCTTCGATTAAATCTTCTATGCAAAGTAAAGAGAGATCACATGATACGGATATGGCTCTTGCTTTGTGGTTTTACGATGGTTGTATTCCTATGAATGCTGTGAATTCTCCACTTTTTACAATTGCTATGAGTAAGATAGCTAGCATGGGGCATGGGTACAACGGACCTTCTTATCATGATATACGTGTTAATTTGTTGAAAGATGCAAAACAATCGGTGCACCTTATTGTTGAGTCTTATCGAAAAAATTGGTCAGAAATGGGTTGCACAATTATGAGTGATGGGTGGAGGGATACTAGGCATAGACCACTTATCAATTTTCTAGTTTATTGCTCAAAAGGAGTATCTTTTATCAAATCTGTGGATGCATCTGATATTGAAAGTAATGCGCAAACGCTATGCAACTTGTTTTCTGAAATAGTTGAAATAATTGGTCCTAAGAATGTTGTTCACATGGTTACTGATAATGCTGCTAACTACAAAACTGCTGGAAAATTGTTATGTGAGAAATATCCTTCTGTTTGTTGGTCTCCTTGTGCTGCGCATTGTATAAACTTGATTATGAAGGATATAGGAGAGTTGTCACATGTTGATAGCTTAATTACTCTTGCTTCAAGGGTTACTGTTTTTATTTATAACCACAAGTGGCCGTTGAATTGGTTGAGAAAAAGACCTGGGTGGACAGAAATCATTCGTCCTAGTGCCACTCGTTTTGGTACCGCATTTATTGCATTAAAGAGCTTACATGACCATAAAAATGATTTACAAGCTATGGCCACCTCTAATGATTTTAAGAAAGTCATAAAATTGCCAAAATCCATGGAAGTTAAGCTTATAATTCTAGATGAAACTTTTTGGAAGAATTGCTTGATCTCGGTGAATGTGATGGCTCCATTGTTGAGACTTCTGCGTGTTTGTGACTCGGATGAGAAACCTTCTTTGGGCTATGTGTATGAGGGAATGTATCGGGCGAAAAATGGCATCAAAAAACTATTTCGATTCAAAAAGGATTTATATAGGCTGTATACCAATATAATCAAGGCTAGGTGGGATAGGATGTTGAGAAAGAGTCTACATGCTACAACTTATTGGTTAAATCCAATCTTTCAATATGATCAAGAAACCTTTTGCCAAAAAGTAGAGGTTTTTTCAGGGGTCCTTGAGATGGTTGAGAAAGAGTCCCGTGATGTTGGTTTGAAGGTCACGATGCAACTCATTAACTATTGTGAGCAAACTGGAACATTTGGTTCGACCACTTGCAATAGCTTCTCGAAAGTGTACTTGTAACACCCTCAACCCGTACCCGACCCGGATACGAGTCTGAGGTGTCACATTGACTTTTCAAACTTCGACTCATGACAAAAACTCGAGAAAATTTAAAATTTTCATTAAAGTCACAGCAGTTTGTTTAACTCAATCAATTAGTACATGCCAACTATATTCAATATACAGAATATATCTAATTCAAGACATCTTTTCTGATCTGATCTTCGGTAAGAAGTAACTGACCGGTCTTGCTCCTCTTCACTTTTCTTCTAGCTTTCCAGAACCTACGTGTGAAACACTCACGCGCTAAGTCGATGACTTAGTGAGGCATAAAAACATATAACCACTACTAATGCATTCATAATCTATACTTATTATATCATAAAAAAATCATACATTCTGTCATGCAACCACTATCCACTTGTACACACACATCATTCACATATTCTTATAACAGGTTTCACAGCACAAAACATGTAAATCATATGTAAGGTATTTATTATTATCTCTTTATTAGTCTTATTTTCGTTCCTTATCTTTTTGTCATATGTTCTTGCATCAATTCCTCTTAACCAAGCTATATTCACATCATCATATCACATATCACTTCACACCATAAAGATTACAAACCAATCACATATTATCATGCAAGGTTCTTTTATATTATTTCCTTTATTAGCCCATGTACACATGTGAAAACCATATATATATGAGTCTATAGAGGTTGTGCACTAATGTTGTCACCACAGCTCGTATAATTGCACCGAAGTGCCACGTAGAATTGCACCGGAGTGCCGCGTAGAATTGCACCGTAGTGCCATATAATAATGTCCATAAGGATCACATATCATTCCTTAAGAATCATATACATATACTAGGGATCAAGTATGTGTCTCACAAGACTTCACACATGTTCCAAAGAATATATACATATCCCGAAGGACCGCGTAGACCCTCGACTCTTGGCATTCCAACTATACCCCTAGCTCTCAAGACACATAACATGGGCACTATCTTTTATATCCTTGCACATACTCATGTAAACATATCACATATTCATATAAGCTCATAGCTTAATTCACACATACATGTAATCACGTAGTTCATGTAAATTCTCATATGATTTCATATTCATATAATCACATAATTCACTTACACATAACACATTTTCATGTAATTCACAGATATCCCTTAGCTTATATCTCTTGATCAGTTAATCATAACTTCTTATCACACATCTCATAGTCATGTCTTCCTATATTCATTTCATCACACAGGCTCATAGTTTCTGGTCATATTATTCACATTCTCTGACTTATCTCTTATGATCTGGTAATCACTATACTTATTTCATATAACTTATTACCGAATAATTCACATATAAACACCTAGATCACTTTCACATAGCTTATATAAGTTTTCTGAATCCTTTCATATTACCTGATAACGTATATCATATAGGTATATAATAACTTATCTCATTTCGTCTACTTTATGCTTTATTTCTTTATATTCCCTTAGATTATATAACTTATGTCGTATTTCTAAACATATATATTACACTTAATCATATTTTATTTATATACTACTTTAATCCATTTAATTAATTCAATTTCATACATTTCTTATAACCTTTTCATATAACCCCATAGATCTTTAGCATATAATTTATCATATATATATATATATATACATATCAACGCTTTATATTCAAGTTCCCTAATAGATATATTATTCTCATTCCATTCTATAATTCAATCTTATTTAGTTTCCTCAATTCTCATTAAATCAAATAACTCTATTTTACTAATTCTCATAACCATGTATTTCACATAGTTTTATATTTCATTATCTTATTACTTATATTTATTCTCCTATGATTCTTCATAAACCTCTATTTCCATTTCCCTACATCTCTTGACTTATCTTCTATATTCATATAATTTCATAACTTATTTGATATTCTCTCATTAACACTTAATAGTGTGTGTACATAAGCCACATAGCACATACAAAATATATCAATTCATATAATCAAGTATACATACACTCATATGCAACTCATGCCTTTAATCATGAATTCATATGTAACTCTTCAGGAAATAGACTCATCGCAAGTCTTCTTCCCATCACCCATCATATACTATTGAATATGCACTCACCTGGCCTCACTAGTCAATTCCAATCTCTTATCTTTCCCTTTGATTGATCTTACTTGACAATGATTCCGGAACTCGTTCAGGCTCTGAATCTACATAATTATACATTTTCAAGACAATTATTGGATACCTACATCTTGTAATTCGATACTAACAACTTAAATGAACTTAATAAACCAATATTCATTTCTTCCTTTAAGGGGGAATCGATTCCCTCCTGTGGGGGTATCGGTTCCCCCATGACATTCTGTAAATTCTGGTGCGTTTGAAGGGGTATCGATTTCCTTTGAATGGGTATCGATTCCCCTAGCCCAGAAATCATATTTTTCAGCACGAAAATTACTTCATTTCCTCTCAAACACTTCATATATCATCCCCTTTCTTATTCTTAACTTACATATACATGCTTAAACTCATTGCTACTCATTCAATACATCTTTAACTTCAAAATCTAATCCTCTACATAGAATTCAAGAATCATACCAATTTTTCCATGTTACCCAAACTTAATTCTAACACTTCTAGCTTCTTATTCTCATAGATGACAAGTCAAATTCAACTTCCAATTTGAGTAATGAACTCTATTCCAAAATTTTATTCAAAAACTCTTAATCATTAATCTCTCCTAATTCCACCATCCTTTGTTTTTAAGATGATTTAAGCTTTCCTAAAGCTTAATTATCATCCAATAATCATAACCAAATCCTAAATTCAGCTAAATATCAACTAACAAGAGATCTTACCTTTGCTTATGGCTTCACGGTGGAAAAGAAGAGAACGAAGAAGAGAAGCCTGGAACTCTCTCATATTTCCCACGTTTTATAATACTCAAAAAGGGAAGATAAAAATATTTCCCATGAATAGACCATTTTGCCCCTTTAGTTCATCCATCTTTGCTATTTAATCCAATATTAAAATTCTTTACTTAACTCCCGAGACTTTTAATTTATTTCTAAATTGAGCACAAAACTTTCAAAATTTGTAATTAAGTTACTGACCCTGATTTGGGATATTACAGTACTCGTCCAGGTAAGTTTAAATAAATAATGTCTTTTATTATATTAATTATTTTACTATGCTAACTTTGTTACCATATATTTTAGATGAGTGATGGAAACTTTTCGGTGGAGATTGTCCAGAGTTGCAAAAGTTTGCAATTAGAATTCTAAGTCAAACATCATCTTCTTCTGGATGTGAGCGGAATTAGAGTGTTTCTGAAAGAATCCATACCAAACGGAGAAATCGATTGGAGCATCAAAGGCTAAATGATATTGTATATGTTCACTATAACTTACGTCTACAAAATAGGTATGATAGAATGTTTTTCTTGAAAGACGACAAGGTTTTTATTATCCTTTTTTTTATTTTTATTATAAATTATGTTTGCAAACATATTAACATTTAAATATTATAGGCTCAAGTATGATAAGCGATCTTACGATCCAGTTGATTATGAATGTATTGATCAAACCAAATTTTGGGTGGTTGAAGAAGGTGAAGGAGAGATTGACTTGGACGAGTTGGATAATATGGTTGAGGAAGAACCACAAAATAACGAGCCATCTACTTTTAAAATGCAAGGTTAGTATTTTCATAATCATAGTTATACTATTGATTTTCTAGTATGTAGCATTTTTGTTACATCATCTTTTGTTTATTTGATATTCTAGGAAATGTAAACAATGATGATGACGACGACGACGACAACAACATTGCCATCCTTGAAGATCTTGATTTGTGTTCTTATCAAAATGCTTAAATGTTGTTGAAGTTTAACTTTATTTGGAAGGATATTGATATTTCGACTTTTATTTTGAAAGTTAATCAACTTTTGTTTTGGTTTTAATGTGTAATATTTGGAGATTTTTATTAGAAGTAAATCAAGTAATGAATGATGAAATTTTGGTGTTGTATTTAAGTATTATAGTTGTGGGGATGTTTTTAGTTTTTTATTAAATATTTTTGGTATTTTTATTTAATTTTTTAAATAATTATGATGTCGTCCGGTTCTTCCGACCGGTCTGACCGGTTCAACCGGTTGAACCAGTGAACTGATAACACGACAGATTCGCTGACCGGTCCGGTTCTGAAAACCATGATGTAGAGTTATAAATAAGGGGTAAGTGAATAGAGTGTTCACTAAATTATTCGTGAATTATTCCGATATTTGTTTATGTTTATTTGTTAGTTAAATAAATGAGTAGGAGCAAAAATTTTATGTTCATCTAATAAGCGAACGAACACTAATAGAGATATATTTAGTTTAATTATGTTCACTAATAAACTCATTTTTAAACTCATTTATAATAATCATTATAAATTATTTTCCCATGGTAAATCTATAAATTAGAAACATGTTTAGATTATTAATCAATCTCTTGTTTCTATTATATCCGATCTAGATTAATCAATTAATAGATTAAATACGATGTTACCAAAAAATATTTTTTTATCGTTTTATCATACAATATCAAGTTTAAAGATAATATACATAAAATAAATAAACAAATATAAATTTTATTTATTTTATTTTTATTCAAATGAATTCAACAATTACACAAATTACTTTACTTGTGGCATTAAACTTTAACGAATTTTAGTTTTAAATTTTGTTTGGTAAGAAGAAAATTAAGCTAAGGTAATTAAAGATTTGGTTTGCGTATTTCTTAATAATGTAATATGAAATAGATATAATCAACTGAGGTTAATTCACGTGGTAAGTAGCTTGATGTCATTTAAGTAAGATCTCAATTTCGATTTTTTGTGTATGCAGAAAATCATTGTAGGGAAATTCATCTACCAAAGCTAGGTGTACGACGCAGATTAATCTGGATTAGTCAAGACAAAACCTTTAAATCGGGA